GATTCAAGACAATGCCCAGTATCATGTAGTGGGCAGAGTGCTGAGCTGGGACTCAGAAGACCTGGATCAGAATCTCACTCCGCTGAGGAAACTCACTGGTGTATGTGTATGTTGGGGTGCGGGGAGGTAGAACTGCTAAAACTAGTCCTTAAATACCTCACTTATCTTGAAAGCCCTATTATGGATACTATACGTCAGCTTATACCTAAGGGCACATAACACAGACATTGATTGAAAATGTCTTAATTGCAGATCCTATCAGCTGCAGCTATGACCAAGGGAGGAAGTCCCATCTACCTCCCACTGTTTGGTATGCCGTGTATATTTTGATAAAGGAAGCAAACTGTTTAATGTGAGATGTACTTGAATGCACTCGTTTCACTGTGGTGAAGTCATCCCATTTCATTCAACGCCCATATTCTCAAAGGACATGTCCTTTGCTTTTGCAAAAATCCTATATTGAGCTAAATTCCTGACTGTAACGTTGAAAATCCTTGTGTGATTGATCTGCGACAGCCCTTCCCATTAATGGAGCACTGGAAGCCATCACCTAAAACAATGGAATCTGCAGTCAGCCAAAAACCAAAGCCTGCATTGCTGGTATTTATGAGGTTGAACTCCACCTGACAGCCTCAGCATTCCTTGGGAGGGGGGTGGATCTCCTTGTGAAGTGGAAGAAGAGAGCTGCCATTGACAGCAGAGGGGAAGAGCAGCACAGAAGTTCATTGCCAAGCTGAGCATGGTGTGGTTAGGTAGAGATGGGCAAGTAAGAGCACAATCCAGTTCTGAGCCTCTGTTTGAAGTGTGACTAGGTTGTAAAGCAATGCCAAGCCACCTTGGCTCACAGAACCAGGAAATAGGGTGTCTCTAGGTAATAATGCCACGACACTGGCAACGCATGTGATGTCAGAATCAGCATGGGGATGGGCTCCTGTTGACAGACCTGTTCAGATACAGGGCAGAGGAAAAAGTTAACATCTGTATTGCATGACTAGTGCCTCTCGCTGATATCAAACACTTTCTCTTTTTTTCCACTGATATTAACCAGGTTTTCTTTTAAAAAAGTGAGTTATGTAATGAGTAATGGAACACATCTCCAGGGTAGGGATAGAATTATTACAGTAATAAGGTACTTTGGTTGGTGGTTCTGGAACAAACAATGGAAAAGATTTTTTTTGGGGGGGGGGAAGGCATCCCAAGTTCTGCCCATGAAACAGATGGCTGGGCATAAAATAGAATTCAAAGATTGCATTCCTCTGCTTTTTCCCCTGAGAAAGGATATAATTTCCACAATGTATGTACAGTATTATAACTCCACAGCATTTATGGGAGAACCTGACTAAGCCTGTTGTCTCCCCTGTAAACCAGGAACTCAGTTCTCCCTTACATCTTGAGGAGGCACCATAGCTTGAAGATAAAGCTACAGGGAAAAAATTAAAGAAAATCTAGCCTGTACTCACTTTAAAAAAAAGGGATTCTAGGTTTTTAAAATTTAGCTTGTCTCCCTCTCCTTACAGGGGGAATGTCTTCTTCCCTCAATGAAACTAAAAGGCAGGACCCCAGGCCTTGCAAAATGGTGGTCTTTGCCAAAGTCCTTCTCTTGAGTAGAGGGATTTCTGACTTCTGCAGGGAGGTGAAGAAACTTTCCCAGAAGAGATGCTGATTGCCTCCCACGGGAGCAAACTGTCGTGACATGTACCTCCTATCTGAACAATTATTTATTTATTTAAATTTTTTCTACTCTGCCTTTCTCCTTAAAAAAAGGACCCAAAGCAGTTTACATCATTAAAAGACAATATTAAAGCTAACAACAGTGAGTAAAAAGGATCAAACAAATACCACACTGAAAGACATAAGCAACACCAAAACACATTCAAAGCAGTCATTAAAGCCCTCCACTCAAGGAGCCAGTCACTTGAGGAAAGGCTTGCCTGAAGAGACAGGTCTTTGCCTGATTGCCAAAGGACAGCAAAGATGGGCCCAGTCTGGTCTCCTGTGGGAGGGAGTTCCAACATCTGGGAGAAGCAACAGAGAAAGCCTTCTCCTGTGTCCCGCACCAGTGAAGGTGATGGGATTGAGACAAAGGCCTCCCCTGATTATCTTAATACAGTGGGGTCTTGACTTGAGAACTTAATCAGTATTGGAAGGCGGTTCTCAAGTCAAAAAGTCTGTAGGTCAAGTCTCCATTGACCTACAGTGCATTGGAAACCGATTAATCCCGTAACAGGCCGTTTTTGTTCCATTTTGGTTTTTTTCTGGTCTGTAAGTCAATTCTCAGGCTGCAAGTCAAACCTAAATTTTGCAGCCAGAGAAGTCTGTAACTCAAAAAGTCTGTAAGTCAAGCCGTCTGTAAGTCAAGGGCCCACTGTACCTGGACAGGCCCATTGAGGGAGATGTGGTCTTTTAGATAGCTTGGACCCAAGCCGTTTAGAGCTTTATAGGTTAAAACCAGCACTTTGAATTGTGACTGGAACTGGATCAGCAGCCAGTGGAGCTGCTGTAATAAGAGGTTATGTGATCCCTATGACCAGCTGGAGTTAGCAGTCTGGTGTTCTACACTACAAGCTTTTGGGTATTTACTTTACAACTGCATAGGCATCAACTCAGAAATCAGCCCCATTGATTACAGTGGAGTTTATGTCCAGATACGTGGGTATAAAAGGGAAAGATAGACATATGGTGCTCTAGAAGTTGTTGGGCTCTGATTTCCATCAGCCTTATCTAGCATAGCCAGTTGTCAAGGTTGCTTTAGTGGTGGGTCTTCTGCAGGGAACTGGGCTCACTGACCTTTGGAGTTCCTTTAGCTCTACCGTTCCACGATTCTAGGAGAGCTGCAGTCCAGTAACATCTGTAGGGCCACACTTTCTCTGCTCTTGGTCTACACAGGGCATCAGCCTTACTTAGGTACAGCCAAATCCCATGTGATGTGACTTGCAGTGACTCTAACTGGGCTTTCAAGGTAAGTGAGAGATTAAGATGTGGTTTTACCACTGCCAAACTTCATCTAGAGTTTCCACAGCCGAGCATGGATTTGAACCCAGGCCTCCTAAATCCTAGTCTGTCACTCTGTCCACTGTGTCGCACTGGGTATTACTGGAAGAGACTTCTAATGAAATCAGTAGGAACTGCTGAACATTAAATGGGGCTCCTACGCCTTATGGATGCGATCTTACTCAAAACTCCCAGTGAAGGAAAGATTTATGAACCTTATGTTATGGACATGTGTGACGTTCGCCCAGTGTCCGCTGCTTGTTTTCCCCAAACCAAAGGTTCACTCTGGTGAAGTTCTCTCTTTCCTTCGCTGCCATCAGTAGATTTCTCCTATCCACACTGTAAAAGGCTTTAACGAGACACTTGCTGCCAACAGAACTTGTTTATTAAAAAATATTAGGTTGAATCTGAATCACAGATGTTCTTTAATCATTGTATAGAGTCAAAATCATTGAAATCTCGTATATTTTGTTACACACTCAGTCACCATTTGCTTTATTTATTCACTTTAACCAGCTTATATTAATATCAGTTCTCTCTATCAATCTCTCTTTAAATCTTCAACCTCTCTCCTTCACACCTCACACTCTCCTTCTCTGTCTGACTGAGTGATCCCACCCCTCCAGTCCTCTCATAGGCTCATGCAACTGAGCTCCAGCTATGAGTGACAGGAGTGACGTGGGCATTCGTCACAAGGTGCAATTCTTCTGTACGAGTGCCACTCATTGGTCCCCTGTAAACTATGCATACCCGTGTTTGCTGCCCAAGACTTAAATATGAAATGTCATAGAAATTTTCCCCCTTATTTGTATACCCGACATTAAGATTCTTATCATGATCCCTGACTCTGTGCATGCAAACGCGGAGCAGTCCTTCTTCAGACGATAAGTGTGCCTTTCTCTTGTCATAGAAAGACAAGAGCGAGCAAAACCGGGCTGCCCAGTTTGGTTGGACTGCAATTTCCATAGACTTTCGCCTTGACTAAAAAGCTGCCTAGGACTAATGGGAGTTGTAGCCCGACAATCCCTGAAGGGCCAGACTTTTCTCTACCGCACCCGAGGATAAGACTCTCTCGCTCCTCCCTGTCTTCACTTGTCAGTTTCAAAGGACCAGACACACGTGTTTACCGTCAGGATAAGAAACCTCCGGGGCGCCTTTAAAAGGCGTGCGCCGGCTCCCTCCCAAGCCGTTGCTTTCACTTCCGAGGGAGGAAGATCCGGTGTTTGCAGTGGGAAAAGGAGGTCGGGTCAATCTGGCAAGGTGCGAGGCGGGGGTTTCAAGAGTACCCGCCATCAGCTTTCTCTTCCTTCTCCCCCCGCCCCTGTTGCTGCAACGTGTCGCAATTAAACTGAGTTAGGTGTGTGTGTGTGTGCACGTATGTATGTGGTATCCCGTGTGCTGTGATTCGTTCTATCTGCTTGGTGGACTGAAAGCTGCAATAATCAAAAGAGAGGAAGGAAGTTCTCCCGTGGTTCTAGCCCCCGCGTTTCTTTTCCTTCTTTGGCTTTGGGGGTAAGGTGGGGGGGGGGTGTTGTCTGTATCTAGATATTTACGGATCCGTAGCCAGCCGGTGTGGTAGCTATAGCATCGCCTCCGAAAACATAGGTTCAACTCACCGCTTGGCCAGGAAAACTCAGGGTTGGGGGTGGTTAGTAACCCCATGTTAGAGGACCCATCCCTTTAAAACCCGTGTTAGCCTTTCTGCCAGTTTCTGTCTTGATTTTCTCGCGTGGGCGTTTTCCGCCTCCTCCCAGATGCCTGGCTTCAGTTGAACTGCTCCATAGCACGGATCACAATGCGGGTTAATAATTCAGAAAGAATTACCAGCAATCCTCAGTATGGTCCTTGCAATGACGAAGTAAGGGAGGGTTCAACCCCATACGCCCTCCCCATTCATCGGCGAGGATAGAGGAGGAAGCGCCACGTGAGTGTCCCGGCAGGTTGATGGTGATCCTATACCTACAGTACTTATCTAGGAGTAGATGCCACTAGACTCAGTGGGTCATGCTTCGAAGTAGGCATGTATAAAACGCACTGTAATGGTATAGCTCTCTGTGGAAGAATGCTCAACAACATTGTGCCATTAGGCAGGGCACAGTAGATCTTGCAGGAGGAAATCAGAAGGCCACTGTGATCCAGCTAATTGATTATTATTTTCTATTTCTCCTGGTTGTCAGGGTCTGGCTATGAAATAATGCTAAGCCAGGGTAGGCAAAATACAGCTCTTCAAGGCTGTTTTATTGCAAACTCTCATCTGTCTAACTGGCAGGGGCCAGGGTGAGGAATTCTGGAGGTACACCCCAACAGTGAAGGTTGGGCTACACTTTGCCCAGTATGGAGCTAAACCACCAAACTGTTATTGCCTTAAGTCTTGGACTGTTAAAGAATGATGTTGAGAGTTAGGGAGTAAACTGGCAGATTGTCTGCTATTTCCAAAAACTGTCCAGGCTGCAATAACAAGGGAGGAGGTAGCTTTAAGCTTGCTGGCTCACAGATGTTTGCAATTTGCAATGTCCACTCCTGTCTGAAAGCAGCAGAAAGAAATTAACTAGGTCAGCATCTGGCTGACATAGCTAACAGCTGTCTCCTGTGCTTCTCGGAGGAATGGAGTAACTTTGGATCCAGCACAAGCAAAGTTGCCTCCATTTTACCACTGGCTTGCTCAGTTTCAGGGCCTGCTACAGTTGAAAGTGATGTCATTTCTTCATACTGTAGCTTTTAGCCCATGTAAGGGGGAAATCTGGGGCAGGTGTGATCTTTTGCTGATAGAGCTCCTTCCCATGGGAAAAGGGACACATATATTTTCATATACAGTACAAAAAATAATTGTTCTAAAGGAAACAGGATACTGTTGTTTTTACAAGGTGTGGGACATATGTCTCAGCAGATATGGAAGAGGCACTTCTGTACAAGAGAGAATACTTCTTCTATGATAATGCTTGAGATCTACAGTTTTGTAAGTACTATCAGAGAGATTTTGTTCTAAACAAAAATCTTCTGACTGGTCCAGTGGCTCTTTCCTAATGAAAATGTTTTAATTACACAAACTGGTTGTTTGACTAAAGGCTGTAGCTGTATGTCAGATAATACCTGATGTCTCTAGTGGGTGTTTTACTTCCAAAAGACTGACTGGGTTAGTCTACTATGGCAACCAAAACATCAGTCTTATGCAGCTTAAAGCATGATAGATTTATTGACAGCATCCTGGACTTAAAGCCATTAAAGCTTATACTACAATAAATCTGTTGCAGCACAATCTTAAGCGTCTCACTGTTGCAAGTCTTCACTTCCTGGAAGTGTTTTAGGATTTTAGCCTTAGTTTTTTTTAAGCAGATGAGTGATGTTTTCAATGCTTGAATAATGTGTGTCCCTTCCAGGAGCTGTTTCTTTTTAAGAAAGAGCCAGCTGCACAGTCCCAGGACACTACCAGAAAAGGGAAGGCTAAACCACTTCTGAGTATTCTCTACTGTACTTGGAAAACCCTGAAACAGGTTCACCATAATTGACTTGACAGCACATGATGGTGATATACTGTTTGTAATTAAGATTGTAGTGGAGAGTTTTAAGGTTACAGGGATGTTTCTGCTATAGGAGGTGCTGCGTCTAGATGGACATGATCAACTCTGACGCTTTCCAATACAATTATAATTCTGGTAGGCGTCCATCCTGGCCTGTTTTTTTTCCTCTGGAAAAGCCTGATAAAGATGATTGGGGAGTTTTGTAAAGTTGTACAGTTCAGTAGAAAGAAGCATGGCAAGACAGCTTGTTCCAGAAGCCAGCCTCTTTTATTTATTAGCGGCTTCAGGTAATACAGGCTACATTCAGGAGGATTCTGGGATTCCCAGAGTAATGTCCTCTGAATTTACTACAACAGGTCTTAATTTGCTTTGGATAAATTAAAATGTAAACACTTTGGAATAGATCTCTAATAGTTTGTCTGAATGGTTCTGTTTGAGAGGTAAGTAATGCAAGTGTTTCACAAAATCATTTAGGAATAGAGATGGGGGCATTCAGATACAAATATCCCCCTCACGGGTAGAAATAATGAGGATCTGGCCCCATGGGGCCGACTGTCCACTTACCATTCCACCACGGATGCATGCTCGACAGAGCCTTCCTATTGCGCCCTTGTTTTCAATGGATTAGTCACTCTGCCACCTGGCAGAGAGGCTTGTCATCCCGCCTCCTTCCAGGAGTGGCTAATCATTAAGGACAATGGCTCCATTGAGTGCATGTCTATGGCGGAATGGTGATTTTCCCCTGCTTGTAGGGGGGATATTCATACTGTATTTGTATACAAATACCCCCATCTCTTTTTAGGAGTATTTCACTTCACAGAAAATACATGATTCGGTCACTGTTTTAAATATCATGGGAGTAGCAGAGAAATATACTTCCCCAGCACTGGCAAACAGTGGCTGAAATCCTGTTGCGTAGTGTAGTGATTTACAACTAGAGCAGGCCCATTGAATCAATGGAGCTTCTGGAGGAGTTGACCCACAAAATCCCCACTGATTCAATTGGCCTACACTAGTTGCAAGTTACTACATTATGCAACAGGATTTCAGCCTCCCATGAAGTAGCATTTCAATTGAACATTTATAAAACTGTTATAGAACTGTTTTGTCTAGCTCAGGGATGGGCAAAGCCAACCCAACAAATATTGTTGGACTGCCATTCTCCTTGAGTCCTCGGTAGGACAACCACTGGTGAGCAATGCTTGGAGTTGAAGTCTAACAGCATCTAAAGGGTGACACTTTGCCCAACCCTGGTCTAGCCATTGTTTTTTACTTTGCCTGGCTAAGATCTTTCCCACAGTGTTAGCTGAGATATACTTTGGCATCTAGTCCAGGTATTTGGTCTGCTGCTCAGTCTACAGGTCCCTCTCAAGTACACTCATTCACCCTCTTGCCAAAAATGAATCTTACTAACTCAAAAGAGGTATACAGCCACCCAAACGTCTCTTATTCTCTCTTCCCACAGAATTTAGAGGCAACCAGAATAGCTAAAACTGCCATGAGATGTGTCTGCACCACACTTGTCGTTTTTGCCCTGGCTTCTCAGGTGGTTGATGCTACATTGTCGAAGACAGATACAAAAAAAGCTGCCTCAAAAACACTGGAGAAAAAGGTCTGAAAACATTTTTTTACTCCCAGTGACTTAACTGTTGATGTCAAGATTCTTATCAAATATTGTTAGGATTGTGTACTCTGACCTGGTCATATGCATATGAAGAACAATTAACACAAAGCCATTAGTTTCAAAATATCTTCTTTTATTTCTGAGCAAATACACCTGTAGAGCAGCTGTTCCTGAATTGGAGAAAAGCTGCAACAACCAATTTTGATTCATGTTTATTCAGGAAATAAGTTAAAACATGGAAACAAGGTTTAAATTGGTGATTTAAATGTGTCTTTCCCCACTGGTAATATGAACCATTCTTGAATTAGAATTCCATGCTTGCACTGAATGCATATCTGCGAATTCATACTGCAAAGATTCTTGAGAACACAGCCTCAGGATAACTGGGTTCACCTCTCAACCAAGTAACATCAATTGTTGGACTTTTGTGTACATTTTTTTTTTTTTGCACAAAGGGTTGTGCTGAGCCTGAGAAAGTCAGATTTTCTCCATGAAAGCTTGCAATTTGTATGATTTTATAGTGGTCCAATAAAAGGCCCTGTGTTTGTGTAATCTTGGGGACTACACAGCTTTATCCTTGTTCTTTTTCTGTGAAATGTGTGTTTCTATATTTTTGATAAACTCTCATTTAAAAGAAAGGAATATTTCACATCAGTGCACAGCAGCAGAGGTTGAGGAACTGTATGGGGGTGAAAACTACAGCATTAGGTATGTAAGGTAGTAGCCACTTTTAGTTGTGGCTTCTCTGCATGTAGTGAAAGAGATCTGAGTTCTTCAGACATCATTAGCTACCAATGTAATTTGCATAGTTAGAAATACTTCAAATGGTATTTCGTATAGACAAGGGTGTGACGTTCATCCAGTGTCTCCTGCTTTTTTCCCCAAAACCAAGGGTTCACTCTGGCAACGTTCTCTTTCCTTCGCTGCCACCAGTGGATTTCCCCTATCCACACTATAAAAGACTTTAACCAGACACTTGCAGCCAACAGAACTTGTTTATTAAAAATATTAGGTTGAATCTGAATCACAGATTTCTTTAATAATTGTATAGAATCAAAAATCATTGAAACCTTGTATATTTTGTTACAAACTCAATCACCATTTGCTTTATTTATTCACTTTAACCAGTTTATCTCTATTAATATCAGTTCTCTCTATTTCTCTGACTACAGTATCTCTCTTTGCTCTTCAGCCTCTCTCCTTCACTCCTTTCACTCTCCTCCAACTCACTGACTGACTGAATGATCCCACCCCTCCAGTCCTCTCATAGGCTAATGCAGCTGGGCTCCAGCTATGAGTGACAGGAGTGACGTGGACATTCATCACAAAGGGCTTATTATGAGAAGTGATTTTGCCTATTTTGCCTTTTGTGTGCTTTAATTTAAGGTAATGTCAACTTTCAGGCTTGATTGCTGTGTTACCTAAAATAAGCTGTAAATGAGTGTTCAGAAGCAGGTTTTTTGTGTTGTTTTTTTTTGCACCTGTATTTCTCTCTCTTAATTTCTTAGTCCCTTTTCAGCATAATTCTTTTGTTTTTTTCTGAGCCTGTTGGTCATGGAGGTTTCCTTTAACTCTCCCAGCTAATAGCCCATATCAAAAGCTATTTATGCTACTGTCTGTCATTGTGTTCTGTGTGTATGGATTCTGTAAACTGTAAAATTATTGATTTTTGGCAGACTCACCATTCAGATAAAACAGTGCAAGACCGTGGTCTTGTGCTTACGGATTCAAAGGCGAAAGACATTATCTTGGAACACAAAAGCTACTGTGCTAAGAAATCACGAGAGCGCTATTTCTCAGGAGATGCTCTGGGCTACGTTACACCTGTAAGTACTGTAAAAATGAACATTTGGGAAGAATGGGAAATGGAAATGCTGTTTTGGATTTGAGAATATTTGACCCAGTCTTTTCTTCCTTTCATACCAGTCAAAATTTGCGTAATACATTAGGCAGGTCTTATTCTCATATATTTTCTTTGTCCTTTTGTAGTGGAACAGCCATGGCTATGATATTGCAAAAATATTTGGAAACAAATTTACAACAATTTCTCCAGTCTGGCTTCAGGTGAAAAGAAGGGGCAAGGAGCGGTTCCAGGTGACAGGGCTCCATGATGCTGACCAAGGTTGTCATTCTGTACTTGGCGTCTTCTTCTAGATGATCTCTGTCTTGTGCTTAAGCAGTTTGTCTTTATTGTAAAGTTAATGTGCCCTGTCTAAATGTGCTGGATTGTCATTAATGGTAAGATCGTTGGGTGGCAGAAAACATGACAAAGTAGGCGATATATCTGGGTGAGTTCTGTAGAGGACAGTGGTCAAAATCTTATCGGATATTTATGTCCAAGAGGAATTATGGAAGTTGCCAAAGTTAATTGGAAGGTACTAGGTGTATGCCAGTGTGTGGTATGACATAGAGCTGACATGATCAGCCCCTTGTCAATTGGCCATGGCGATGTCTGTGATTCCTTTTGTTTGTGTGCGTGTGTGTAAATACCCAGTGGGATTCTAGCCAGTGGATATTTGTATATTTGTACATTCCTTGATCCCTCTTTTTATAGGCCAAATCCTCCCTCATCAGACATTTGAAATAGGTAGTAAATACTGTATGATGGAGGGGAGCATGTGTGTGTCCAGAATGTCAAACTGTACATTCGTGCAAGAAATCTAAGCTTCCACTGATTCAGAGAAAGTTCAGAAATCAGGCATTAGACAAATTGTGTCCGCAACAAAATATTTCACAGTGCCTTTACCTACTAGCAGGATATTAGCAGAGATTGCTTCCCTACTGAGGATATTTTAAGCTAAGTAGACTTCATCAGGCGGGTTCATTTCCCACTTTTTCCAGTTTCTTTCTTAACTGACACTCAAAATCCCTCGTTCGTGAAGCTACTTTGTTTGGTCCTTATTGGGTTGTTTTGGGAATCTACTCATAATATTTTGCTCTGTTTTGGTGTGGTTTTAAATAAGTGTGATATAGTTCTGTGTACCTTGGACTTCAGTATCCTAGTATCTTCTGCATGTTTGTCCATGGTCTTCTTTTGCCTCCAGTCCTATGAATGCCCAACCAACTGAATTTTCTGTTAGAGCAGCGATAGGTAAAGTTTAGGCTACTGAGTCTGACTTCATTTGATGAGGTTTTCCCCTGGGAAAAGTTAATCACTGTTCCTGGAAGCCAAGAATAATCTCAGTTCACCTTTTAACTAGGTTACAGACCACCCCCACCCCCATGTTTAATATCAGAAATGCCTGTTTTCAAAACCAGAAGGACTATTAGAGACTCCCTGTTTATTTTATTTTCCTTGTTCTTTGTTTGGTTTTTGCATTGTTTGTGGTCCATGCAGCCCCTGAAGGGTGCTGAGTGTGGACAATTGGTCTCTAGATTTACTGAAGTTGTCTGTCCTTGTGTTAAAGTGAATATATTTCCTGACATTTACTCACAAGTGGAGACATCAATGTATTTCTGAATGTTGGGGCATTTACAGAATTTGATTGGGTTTGTCACCATTAGCTAACATGTGGTCATGTAACATACCACACTTGTGTACTACTTGTGTGCAACACCCAGCGGGGTGGGGAATTATGTTTTGCAAGTTAAAATGGAAAGCAAATCCATCCTGAAAATACAGATCATACGCATGAGTGTATACTGAAAGTAATGAGACTGAGTCACTCTTTGCTCACAAAGGGCATAGTGAATTATGTCATGCAGGTACTCAGTTTGTGCACCACACATGAAATATTACAGTTAGAGCATCCTAGCTGCAACAGATCTTGTCTAGTAGATGGTGGGAGGCTAGGGCTCTAAGGAGTATTCCTATGCTAGTGGCTTCAAATGATTTCAAAACAAATCTTATCGGATATTTATGTCCCTCGCATTACGACGTTAATTCGTTCCAGCAAAATTGCTGTAGAACGAAAACATCATAAAGCAAAATTAAAAAGCCCATAGAAACGCATTAAAACTCGTTTAATGTGTTCCGATGGGCTGGAAACTCACCGTCCAGCGAAGATCCTCCATAGGGCGGCCATATTAACTACCTGTGCAGCGAGGAATCCGTCCCAGAAAACAGTGAGGGGCCATTTTGTTTACCCGATGGCCATTTTGAAACCACCGATTAGCTGGAGGAAAATCATCGTTTTGCGAAGAATCCGTTCCCGAAGGAGGGAACCGATCATCGCAAAGCGAAATTCCTCCATAGTAAACATCGTGTTGGGCTAGCAAAAAGTTAATCATAATGCGATTTCGTCGTTAAACGGAGTGATCGTAAAGCGAGGCACCACTGTATGTTCCTTTTTGCCTGATCAGGAAACAAACATAATTTCACGAGGGCAAGCACCTGTGCTTTATGTTGCAGTTGAAGCCATTACCCATTTTCATTTATGTATAGTCAAGTTGTTTCTATATGGCGGTTCATCTTGTCCATGTTTCTTTGACAGGCACAGAGTGGAAAATCTTAAAAGGCAGGCTTGTTTTTATAGTCCTTTTTGTTAGGGCATCTCCTTATTTAATCTACATATTCTTGTAACAGGTTGGATGAAAGAAGTCAAAAAGAATGCCAAAAACATCAAAATAGGTAACTTTGGAATTCATTATTTTCATATTGGGGATTATATCATTGATAAACTCCTAAGCTGTCTCCTCCCCACTCCTCAGTCTTTCTTATGGATTTAATTTAGACCACTGTGTTGGGCTAGATAAGCTTTTGGTTTGACCCAGTGTGACTTCGTAGCTCAATGGCTTAGGCATCTGGCTGCGGAGCCAAAGGTTAGGAGTTTGATTCCTTGCTATGCTTCCTTCACAAGGACTGGACATGATGATCTGAAGGGTCCCTTCCCACTCAGCAGTTCTAAGATTATTATTATTTAGTTATGTTTGGTCAATGCTTCTTGTGCACAATGGCTGCCGTGTGGAAGTCCACTTTAGATGTTAAGTGTAGTGGAAGGAGATGTTTCCCATAATTTTGCTATATTTGTAAAGAAGAAACAATACATTGATAAACATCAAAAGAGCTGTGGAAGATGTGAGAAGGGAAAGAGTGGATGTAGGTGTCAAGGGAGTATGTTCTCATGGCACTACGGTAATTTAAATCATGGCTGCTCTCCTGATGGTGTGAGAAAATAACAGCTATTTCTGTGGTTTTGGTTCTCTCTGTGTGTGTTTTAATCTTAGTGCCACGGATTTTGTTTGAAGGCTGGACGTACCAGGACTTTGAGAGTGTGTTTAGCAGTGAGGATGAGATAGAAGAACTTTCAAGCAATATGATTCAAGTTGCCAAGGTAAAATCATACCAACACAAATGGAAAGAAATCATACAGTCCCAAATGTCTATGTGATAAATGGTCAGCCTATATTGTTACAGACATAAATCACACCATCTGCCTTTAAATTGGCAATCCTAGCATCACATCCGAAATAAACAAATGAAACTTGATTCATTTATTGTGGAAGTCTGCTTGCGAATGAGTGGTTGCTGCCCCAGAGGTTTAGTCCCTTTACAGTATGTGTAAAATACAATATCTAGGCTAAATTCTGCACTTGAACATTCAGTCATTTTTAACTGTAAATACAGATAAGAATGCTATTTTCTAAATATAGTGGCATAAGGCATCGTAATACAGTGGTGCCCTGCATAGCGACGATAATCCGTTCCAAAAAAAATCATCGCTGTAAGGAATTGTCGCTATGTGGGGCAAAAAACCCCATAGGAACGCATCAAAACACGTTTAATGTGTTCCTATGGGGAAAAAACTCACCTTTAAGCGAAAATCCTCCATCCGGCCACCATTTTCGGTGCCTCTAAAGCGAGGCAACACAGCGGGCAGCCATTT